GCACACATGAATCTTCAAAATAAGAAAAAAGCTGAACAAGATATTAGGCATATTAAGCATGTATACATGCAAAGCAAGGCATTTAGGCAAATTCACAAATTTGTAAACAAACTTGAGCACTTTGATGTGGAATGGTTTAAACTCCTTGTGAATAGTTATCCAGCTAGAGCAATGCGCAATTTAAATAACAGTAGTGAATGGAAATCACTGTGTAACTATCAGTATGGAACAGATGATTACACCAGATGGTACAGCACTGCTGTAACTTGGTATAACAAGTATAACAATACTCCGCACATAAACACGTTTTTTGAAAAAGTTTTCTATATGCATAAAAGTAAGGGTTGAATCTGGTTGCATTATTATATATATTATTATGCATACTAATACTAAATTATTATATTATTAGGTCATCTGAAAGCACATTTTGCATATGAAAGTCATATTGAAGATATTGATAATGCAACTTCAGAGTAAGTAATTGATAATAACTATTTGCTATAATTGTATCGTTACTAATGTTGATTATTTAATAGTAATTTGGAATATTTGTACGTTTCTGGACGCAATAAAGTAGGCGTTTAATTACAATACAATAGTCAACATTCTGTATAACGTTGTTGCGGAATATTAACTAATAATCAATTATATATTAGTTAACAATACCCATATTCCGAGTGCCTCCGAATAAATACAATCTCAGCATTTTATTATGGATTGGTTTGAAGTTAGCGACATTTACAATTGCAGTAAGTGTCAGAAAGTATTGTTGATTACAGTCTCTCCCTGTATGATAAATATAAACATGCGATTTTGTAGACGACGATAAAAACATCAACTGAAGAAATACAACACAATATGGATATTAAAAATAACAACAGTTATTTTGAATACATTCTACCATGCGCGGTTAACGTTTTGACCGAAGATGACATTATTTTAGAGTTTGATATCAGTAATGATGTAAGTATAGTTTACTTATTCATTGACTTGGTGTAAAATGTACTCAACTAACTTTAACTCTATTTTAAGTCATCCGTATTAGTATATTTTCGTTGGGTTTGTTTATATTCGGAAGAAAAGTTGCAAACTATGCAAAATAATAACTTAAAAATTAAAACACTTTCAACCGGCATAAAAATAATTGACCATGAGCAGTTCGAGTATCGGAATGAATATTTACTAACTCGTTGATCAATAAAAAAAACAAGTGTTTATATTATGCACGCAACTTATATTCATATCACATACTTACTTTGGCCTTCAACTGTCTCTATCACTAGAATTCTCCTCTCTTCTCACAATCTTTCAACTAATACTACAAACATATAAACATTTATATCACTCATATACAGTATACATATATATTTATTTATACATAACATAATAACATTGATAACATAATTAGTAATACGCTCCAAGCTATTTTATATTCAGCTAAACTCTTTATTGTACCTCTATATGCTATGCATATATATTAAAATTAGCTTTAGCAGTTTATCTATAGTTAGACAATAAAGCTCTAAATTAAAAAAAAAAAAAACAAACAAACAAAAAACCATGTAACTGACCGCAAACGTGCGCCACTACGCTACTACGTTTTTTTTAATATACATTGTATCAATATACAGAATACGGTTTATTCTGGAATGTCTTGCAAAATGGACGATAAACATGTTTATGTTATGCTAAATAAGTAATATATTCTAACAATCGCTCAACTGTGTAATGTATACTACGTGCGACAAATCTTGTTAACTGTAACAGGTCCCCAACTGAGGTACAACATATAATTTAACGATACTCATCGGATCATTTTGATTTTAGAATAGCGACTTTGCAGTAGAAATTTAGGTTTATAAAACAAGCAAGTTCTACAACTTTTGTAAGATGTACAGTCGAATAAATTTGATGGAAAAACAACAATAAACTTGTGTGGTTTAACATGGTCTCTAATGTCTTCTCCTATGATTTTTAATTATACAATTTGGCTTATCTCTAGCTTTCGGCATATGCTGGATTGTTCACGTCACGGCTACGAATCTTTATCATGTGCATGATAAAATTCCAGCAAGACGGTTTAATATACGATTACGTCGAACAACATTCTTTTCAGATTTGTTTGGTTCTTAGACGGGATAAATAATTGTCATTTACCGTGCTTCATGTCTAGAGAAAGTCCTTTTGCAGAACTAAAGAAGTGGTATAGGAATAGATGAGAAATGAGTTGAGTTAATGTCGCTAGTCTGCTGAGTGAATGATCGACTTCTTCAATTATTTCTACTATTCTTTGTCGGAATTTTCTGTGCCGTATGACGTTGATGGTTCGTATATTTCTTCATAATCTACTTCTTCATTGGAATTTTCTGTAGATGGCTCGTAAGTCACCAAATTAACGCACGTATAATAATAATTAATAAAGTAAATTTATTCTCAAATGCATCAGAATTAATGAATTTTTCAAAATTTGCGTGCGTGTGTATAGCAATAGCAGTGGGAGGTTTGCTTTTTACGAGAAAGGAAAATACAGCCTATTAGATCAGACGGCTCGAATATAGTAAATTAATTTATTTGATAAGTACCGCATAATTTTTATAATGTTATTACACACACTAATATCACATTCATTCAAATGTTAAACTCTTTAATAACTCTTTATCTTCAAGAGATAAAAAAGTAATTAACTGAATTATTTTGCATCATCCAGATCTAAAATCTATAATCACCGAATTATATCATGCGTTTGAGATCACATAAACGTAAAACACTTTGTATAAATAAACAAATAAATAAACAGCGCTTGGTTTATACAGTCAACACTATTTATACCGGTTCCGGCCAGACACAGATAGTCATGCCAACTCGTCCGGTATAAACAAGTTTCACTATATAAATTTATGCTGTAGTAGCACTGTCGTCATCTTCCAACTCATCTGCACTACCTTCCATATCACGATACAATACCCCATGATGAACTTTTTCCTTTGCTTTATCCAACGATTTGTTGTGATCATCCAGCGAATTGTCATATTGTTGCAGCTTTAGATAGACAGCTTCTCTTTGACTCAATGCATATGCGTCATTTGGTTCAATCTCCAACGATTTGTTAAAATCATTCAGTGAATTGTCGTACTGTTTTAAACTCAAATAGATGTATCCCCTCGTTTTCAATGCCCCTATATCGTATGGTTTAATCTTTAACGATTTGTCGAGATCATTCAGCGCGTTGTTATATTTGTTTAGACGCATATACGTAGTTCCTCTTCGAGCCAATGCATATGCGTCATTTGGTTTAATCACTAACGACTTGTTGAGATCATTCAGCGAATAGTTGTATTGTTTTAAACAAGAATATACAGCGCCTCTTCGACTCAATACATATGCGTTATTTGGTTCAATCTCCAACGACTTGTTAAAATCATTCAATGACTTTTCGTATTGCTTTAAACAGAAGTGGGAATATCCCCTATTTTGTAATGTCCATGCATCATTCGGTTTGATCTTCAACGATTTGTTAAAATCCTTCAATGAATTGTTATACTGCTTTCGACTTACATAGATTCTTCCCCTTTTAGTCAGCGCCCATGCATCATTTGGTGTTTTCTTTAACAATCTGTTGAAATTATCCAATTCATCACAAGACTTTAACCTCTCATAAACACTTTCACAAACGGGCCGAATATCAGGATCTTCATACCAACATTCTGAATATAGATTAATATATTCTTTAGGCGTTCCAGAAAATGAGAGATCGCGGAAGCCCTTAAGTCTACATGCAATAATATCAACAGCTTCAGTACGTCCTCCGCATGGAACTTTTCCACTAGACACTTGCCATAGTATTACTCCAAGACTAAATATATCGGATTTCTTTCCAAGTTGATATGAGGTGTTCTTGAAAGACACCGGATCTTTGTATGCGACAGCGCCATCTCCACGAGATTTGGACATCGCTTGTTCCAACACTCTTGATAACCCAAAATCGGTTATCTTTGCATTACTACGAGAATCAATAAGAATTTTATTCGATGACTAGAGAAATAAATATATGCCCGTCAGTTTAAACAATAACGTAAGTTCAGATGATACAAATAGCATGTGCAATACATACCAAATCTTTGTGAACAATATCAAGTTTATGTAAATGTTTGAGTCCATTGGTAATTCCTAAGCTCAGCTTGTGTTTGCCGTCCCAGGTTAAATCGTTAAATTTTTTCTTTAGGTATTCATTTAAACTCCCTCTGTCAGCCAGGGAGAAGACCAGATGGTAGCTATCTGTATGCATTAAATAAGCTGTTACCATTTGTTAGTTACATTAGGGGATTACCATCAATTCAACATACCTTTATATAGGCCATAAAAGCGAATAATGTTGGGGTGGTCGTTCACTTCCTTGTGGCATTTTAACTAACATGACATGTAATATTCATTCAAAGGTTAAAAGTATACAAATATAAATGCAACAAGCATAATGGAAAGTTAATAGGAAACCTCTTTGACAAACTGTTGGTACAAATCTTCTCCACAATCGCATTGATCATCTGGTAGCAAAGTCTTCACCGCAACGGTCATTCCAGAGGAAAGACCGTTCTGCCTTTTGCCTTGGATTGCCTTGGTAATAATGCTGAAGCGGCTTCTCAAACTTACGGTTCCTTTCCACACTGCTCCAGATGCTCCAAAGCCAATAGGTTTGTCGTCTAATTTTATGTCACTTTCTGGACAGCAAAAAATTGAATCATCTTGAATACTTGTCTTTAGCCATTCTTTGTATGGTACTTGAGTCATTGTTGAAACTAAATAGAGGATGCTATCAAGAGCGTTAGAAAATTCTGAAGTATTGTCTTTGCAGTCATCATGCGGAGTAGTTTACGCCACACAGTAGGTGCCACAAATCAACTAAGTGCCACAAAAACCCTTTGTTTGCGTTCCAGAATATCATCGCGAATTACAAAATCTCTATATATTTCACGCATCCAGCATCATTTCTCGCCGGAACACATTCACAACTTCAACCAACTGACACCTTTTCCGAAATGTTCATCCACATCGACAGTACGTGTTGACAATACCTTCTGGGGATTCAAGAACAGATGGTTAGCACCACCAGTGTTGGTAGCGGAATTTATCACAACAGACTTATCAGCCGAACATTTGACAACGGCTTTACACTATTTCCGTAGACAAAAATATGAGATGCTTTAGTCAAACACAGTACCTTATCTAGTACAATCAGACTGTGCACGTGGAATACTTCGTGCTATCCTTGCAGAATACAATGACGAATCTCCTGAAGAATATCTACAACGACTCACCATTGATGCCATTGCTAACAAGGACTCAGATCCAAAGAAAGTCATTGTCGCTTGGTGTTATGGACACTGTACGAGATTAGTTTTTTAATTAAGTAATTAATGTTAATACTAAAAATGCTTGGTACTAATCTATAGCGTCTTGCATAGAGTGATTCAGACACACATACACAGTTAAGCTTTTCACTGTAGAAAATGCTTCAGATTGCAGAAGTTAGCCGCCACTAGTGACGATGAGTTTGCATTTGTGTCATCATTCGAGTGACGACGAACTCGATGAAAAAAAATCTTGATTCATGATGAAGTTCAAATAATTCGTGTGAAAAGTGACAGATTCAGTAATTTATCAAGTTTTTCTCATGGTGAGTATCCATTTACGTTATTCACAAGCACAGAGTGCCATTTCTCCGAAATACAATGGGTGCCAATTACCGAAAGTAGTCACATATATCCATAGGGAAAAGGTCCAACATCTTTCTACAAAAAAGGGTTTATATATACAGCGTTGTCGCATAAATCGTTTTCAGACTCAGTCTTACAATCGTGATTTCAAGAATGTTCGAAGGATATATGACGTGAATAAATATCATTGGATCTGAAATGTTGCAGACGAGGTCAATGCGGAGAAAGGAATTTAAGTTATCGGAGCTAAAGCGATAGAAAATTTTTATAATGAGGAGAGAAACCCTGATAAAAGAACGATAGGCGCAATCAAGTGTTGGATGGAATTGAGGAACAAAGAAATAAATGAGTATAATGTTGGATAGTTTATCTACGTGGGGCCAAAGAATAGGGAATAGTCATAATAGCCTTTCGAGGTCTGACTATTCACTCCCACGCAACCTCGCAATAGGCATATGTAGTTAATAAAATTATAATTCATTGCCGAAGGCAGTCACAGAGTGGCTATTTTATTTCGTGTTTCTTATAAATATTCACGACTTATATGCTGGGGGTGCTGTTGGTTGGGATTGGGACGACAACTGTTTCAAGAATTGTCCATTTGTGAATGACAGAGTGGTATTCCCATTCGGCTTCTCTGATTCATCAGTTGATTTTGATGCTCGTAGGCATATATCCTTCTATGCTGAGTTTCTCTTGGATGCGATTATATCTTTTCTCAAATATTCGAATTTCATTAATCGTTCTTGTTCGACGGTCGACAAGCAGCTTTTTTCGACTAGCATTTACAAATTATTACTTAACCCTAGTTTATTCTTACTATCATCATTTATTACTTCTGCTCAAAAATTTTATTCCTTTTTTGTTACAGCAACAAAGATATTGGTAGCGTTTTTGACCTCACACATAGTGAGTTTAACTTTACGTATTGCATAAAGTTGATGTATGATTGTATCCCGATCATTCATTAGTATTAGAGGGCGCTGTACCAGTGTCAGTGGTCAATAACAATGAAGCATTTTCGAACGTAACGCCACTGGGTGATTAGATGGTGATTGCAACCGTAAACCAAAGCTATAGATTTCGTTCGGGATATTGAAAATCCACCTTGTTGACATCATTCTTCGCGTATAATGCATACATTTCTTAATATTAAATCTCACTTCAACAGAAAACCCCAATTCAATGAAGACTATCAAGGAATTATTTTGCCAATATGTTTAACTGTGATCAGTTTACTATACAAAAATTTACCGGATTGCGAATATGGTTATTACAATTGTTCTATGTGATTGTTATACAGAGTCTCTTAAATTATTTTTACTCTAGTTGAACTATAATATAGATTAGTCAGGTAATTATCTGTTACAATGACTTTAAACAGAGTTTGCAACTCACAATTACTGTATCGATGTTCTAAACCGATCTGGTCGTTGAACCGATCTAATATATTCTCATTGGTCAATCTTCAATTACCCCCCCCTACTTATATCACCTGATGTTAATTCAAAAAAGCGCAATATTACGTAACCGTCAAGCTATATGCGAATCAAAGTGCTCGAAAAAATAGTAGCTTTATTACAAAAACTATTATACAGTACATTCAACACACTTTCACCAATAGGCTATCTCTAATTCTAGACAATTTCTGCAAAACCTTTATGTACTTAAAAATCGAATTACGATTTAAAAGAAAAAGAAT